AATCTACCCTGACCCCTCTCCTATCGGCTTATCCTACTCGGGCCTGGATCCCTTTATTGTCTTGTAGATCTGTTCTTTATCTTTCTGGTTAAGCGATTTCACTCGGTTCTTATCCCTGTGTGAATTTCACTCCAGGCGCTATTTCTCAAAGCCCAAGCAGCACACACTGCCGCCTTACTGAACAGAGCGCCTAAGTCCTGATTGCCATGCTTGCAGATATTAGGCCTTCCCTTCACGGGTCCTCTACCTTGATTAAACCCATGTTACCTGAGAAAACTGTGGACGCCTATCTCTGGTCGCATGCGGCATCTCAAGTAGATTTCTAGTGTATTTTGGGCATAACGCCGAATTTCCGTGACGGTTTGCTTATCCGTCTGCCCACCTCCCTGACTGCCAGGTTTGTTCAAAATGGACATACTCACTGACAACGTCTTCGCTTGATTGCTGAAAACCCCCGTTTTCGGCAGAACGTTTTTCGAGGGATCTAGCTTCACTTGTCTCTTTGACGAGTTTGTAGCTTGGTGCGACGAATGGCAAAGCTTACTGATGATGCTGGCGAAACGTTTGAGAATGTATCAAGTCCAATGTCAGATTCTGGGAATCATGACAACTACTATGGCAGACGACTTTGGACAAGGTTCGATCTACATAGTCACCCTGACAACAAGACCAAGTTGCGACAACGAGGTCAACCCACTTCTAATCCGTATGCTGTTTGTAGTCGTGCATCTTTTCTTACGATTGAATTTCTTGTCCATGCGTCAATTTTCCCATTTCTATGCGTATCCTTCAGTATGGCACTTAAGATTCCATTGATCTTCATAGTTGGGTCCTTGTTTAATATACGATATGGGGTCCTGTCTCATAGAATTTGTTCCATCTTCTTGGTATATTGTTTTTTGTCCATTATCACTGTAGCTTCTCCTTTGTCTGCCTGAAGGGCTAATTGTTCATTCGTTTCCAGGGTTTTGCATATCACGGCAAATCTGCTCCTGTGTGTAGGCTCCTGATGTGTCAAGATCTTTGGAATTAGTTCCATCTCCATTTCCAGTTTTGTCTCCTTAGGGAACTTGTCGGCGATATTGATAACCTCCACCAGGATGTCTCCTAGA